CTTAATTAAAATATAAAACAATTTCAAAGGAAACTGATTTTTTTTTTAATTCAAAGGCAAACCATCTAAAGTGACTTAAGCTATTTTAATTGAACGGCACAGATATAATGACGAAAGTTTAGTTTGTCGAATCGGTATCGGGTACCGAATTGGAAGTATTGGGTACCGAAATTTTTTTCAACCGAGAATTCAGCACATCACTACTCAGAATGTCGCCTGAATAATTTTAATGACCTTTGTTAACGTGGAGCTATTTGTGAACCAAATGAAATAAATAATATAAAAAAAAACTTTTTAATATACAACGCTTTTATAAATGGACTAAAAAGTAGAAAATAATATTTCTCAGTCCCATAGAATTTGTTTTGATAACTTTTGATTTTGAAATTTTAGCAAAGTCATTATAAACAATCTATGAAATTGAAAATGAGAAACGTAGAGCATGCAATACAAAGCATTCGATTTAATTGACAATAGTCAAACTACATAACGTAGACCTAAAATTTCTACAGCGAAAGTAGAACTTTGAAATCGATTTTAAGCGGTCGTTATTCATATACCCACATACATACATACATATATTACTTTTCATATCAATTCAAGTGTATTACATGCGCCCCACGCTTTTCATTTTCAATTTCATAGATTGTTTATAATGACTTTTGCTAAAATTTCAAAATCAAAAGTTATCAAAACAAATTCTATGGGACTGAGAAATATTATTTTCTACTTTTTAGTCCATTTATAAAAGCGTTGTATATTAAAAAGTTTTTTTATATTATTTATTTTCTACTTTTTAGTCCTGTCTGAATAAAATTTTGCAATAGATATTAAAATAATTCAACGATATTAAAAGAAAGGTGCACACACATGCATTTACATATGTATGTACATACAAACGAGCACCAATTCATTTTATTTAAAGAAATGGCGTGTCGTCTATTTCCGCTGTAGCAAACGTAGTACATAGGGCGACATCTAGATGTCATCTACCTCGCCCTATTCACTACAGCTGTCGCCCTATGCACTATGCTTTTTTTATAGGAACTTTTCAAAGCTTTGCTTTGGTGTCGGACACACAACATTGAAAGTTTCTGGACTCACAACATTGCAAGTTGATAAAAGCGTTGTAAAAAGTGGCGCATTTTAGGAGCTGGTGTAGTTTTCGTACTAATCTCAATGAATAAATAGTACCAAAATGTTAAAGGTAGAATTTTGATTTGAAAGAAATACTGGTGGAATAACAAATACACCAAAACGTTCTTTTTTATTCAATCTAATCAGATTTGTACCAAAATCCATAAATTTACACCAATTTATTAACCAGTGTGCTACTTGAGTTGCCGCCAAAAAGCAGCTGGACTGCCAAGTGCGGTTTCTATACCTTCGTTAATAATACTTATATGTGAATATATCAATAAATAGTTATTAAAAACCAAACAAACGGTTTAAATTACCAGTTTACTTGCTAAAATCAAGAAAATCAGGAAATTTCTAGTGCAACTCGCACAAAACCTATTTTTTATTAAGGTATAACTTCTTGAGCGGTCAGACCTAAAGCTCGGGGTTTTCAGACATTTATTTGTAGGTTCTGAGGAATAAAATTACAGGTATTAAACAAATGTGCCAGATACCAAATGCAATGAAAATGTCTGCTTACAACTGTAACTGAATTTCGCGTATTTTATAAAAAAAAACGTGAATTTTCTTGTGGTAGTCGTTGAGCGGTACTTATTTTACATTTATGGGTATAAAATATACTTCTTCAGTTCTTCAGAAGAAGAATCCTAGGTTAAAGGACAATGTGCTACTTGTCATTTTTTCGTACTGCGTAGCTCTGAACGTATTTGTGGTAGAGTACTGGAACTTGGTATGGGGTTATATGAAATCAATACTATACTTCGGAAAATAGCCCGTGGCACCTGCCATACAGATTTAATTTTTTATACTACCACCTGTTAAAGAATTAACTTCAATTCAAAGTATTTTATAAGTTAAAATTGATGTCGATCGAGTCGTTATATCCCAGAAATGGGACTTATAGGAAAAAAAGTGTCATAAGGGGTTTTGGGGACAACCCATGATCTACAATTTTATCTCACCTATTTTTATGACAAACCTTACGGTTTAGCTCAAAAATTGTAAACATCAATTTATGTGACCTTTGACCTTGAATAACTTTTTTTTTACAGATCTGAGATCGATGAGCATTTTTCACGTTTCACATTCGTACCAATTTTCAGCTTTATGCGAGATACTGCAACCTTGGAAATCTAACTTGACCGGGCTAATAGAAAACAATTTTGAAAATATGGTTTAAATAGAGTAGCAAAAAGCCTCAAGAGATTTTCCCATAAAAATTTTAGAATGAATTTAGAGTTTGCCAATAAAAATTGTAAAAATGGAATTTTAGTTTCTCCAATCATATGTTTCTACAAAAATGTTGCCTTCTCATTTCCATCTTCTTAGTATTTGCGCGTAGAGGGCAAAGAGAAGGTAACATTTTTCGGAAGAAACGAAAACGCCAATAGTCATCTTTTACTCAATGTAATCTCTTTTCATTTGGTGGCACAATAGTTTTATTACACTAGATTCGTTTGTTTTGGCAAGTATAACATTTTCACGGATTAATTTTAAAATTTTAAATTATCTTAAATTATTAAGGTAAAACTTTCACATATGTGGGTTTAAAAAAACAATATATATACATATATATATATATATATATATTTTAATTTAATTTCATTAAAAAAACTTACACATATTCTTTCTTTTTTTAATTTAGCTTTTTTATTGAATTTTTAACAAGAAACATTTTTGTTAATTTATTTTAATGTTTAGAAACTTGTCTTTTAATTTAATTTTTTGTCTGGTTTGATTACATTTTCTTTTAATTTTAAGATCTTATTTAAAATAAATCTGTTTAATTTTGTTAAATTTTTAGAAACTTGTTTTATGTATTTTATAAATTATAATTTTTCCCCTTTTTTAATTAAACTTAATTTTAAGAAACTTATTTTATGTACATATTTTACATATGTATATTTTTTTTTCTTTTAAATAAATTTAATTTAAAAAAAAAATTTTTTTTTTTGTATTTAATTTAATTTATAGAACTTACACATTTTCTTCCTTGTTTTAATTTAGCTTTTTTATTTAATTTTTAAAAAGAAAAATTTTTGTTTATTTGTTTAAAATTTTTAAAAATTTATATTTTAATTTAATTTTACGTCTTGTTTAATTACATTTTCTTTTAATTTTAAGATCTTATTAAAAAAACTTTACTTTGTACGTTTAATTTTTAGAAACTTGTTTTATGTATTTTATAAATTATAACTTTTTTCCTTTTTTAATTTAATTTAATTTTAAGAAACTTATTTTATGTACATATTTTACATATGTATACTTTTTTTCTTTTAAATACATTTAATTTTAAGAAAAGAATTATAATTTTTTTAATTTAATTTAATTTTAAGAACTAACTTATCTTTTTTCTTTTTGTTAATTTAATAATTTTTTCCTTTTTAATTTGATTAAAATTTTAGAAAGAAACATTTTTTTAATTTCATTTAATTTTTAGAAGCATTTTTTATTTTTTTTTCTTAATAATTTCATTTTTTGTAAATGTTATAATTTTGTTTTAAAAGTTTTTTTTTTAATTTTATTCAAGTTTAAGGAACTTATCTATTTTTAAATTTTTTTATTTTTATTTACTTTTGTGTTTTTTTTTTTAATTTTTTTCTATTGTTTTTTTTATTTTTATTTTTTATTAATTATCGTTTAGTTTTTAGATATTGTTATAAAAAGAAAGATACTTTGTTTTAATTTCGGTTGATTTTAATAAACTTATTTTATATATTTTTTAATTTAATTTTTATTTTTAATTAAATTTTCTTTCAATTTTTGATTTTTATTTTTTTTTTAACAAAAATATTTTATTAATTTACTTAATTATTTAGAGCATATTTTATACTTTTTTAATTTTATTTTTTTTAACAAATTTTCATTTATTTTTTAGATTTTGTTGTTTTAAAAAGAAGAATGGTAAACTTATTGCTAAAAGACAAACTTAATATCGCTAAGACCGACCTCCTCTTTTAATTCATTTGTTCAACAATGTCCTGATGCCTATGGTTCCAGTGTGCCAATACTGAGTTAGCTCGGGGACTTTACTAGACTTTCTGGGAGGAAGCAAAATTAGTTCATGGTTGATTTTACAGGCGTATTTAAGGTGGAGAGCTTGATGATGTAGTAATGAGACTACTAATAATAAAAGTACATCACAACAACTGAGACTCGGGACCGATTACGGGTTTACGTATAAATTCGAAATGGTCGTCGATTATTGCTACGCCACTAAGAAAATTTCAATGCAATTGCAAATGTTCAACTAGAACACTGAAATAAACACCCTTTAGTTCATTGGCACCCACACCAACGGCAACATAAAAATTAATTACCTGACCGCACTTCGGCGCCATTTCAAAAACAGAAGAACACAAAGCAAGCATTGCTCAATGATTTGCAATAATATTTACTGCTAATAATAACTTATTTGCTTTACTCTCCTCTTCTACATACTACCTAATATTTCTCATGCACATCAACTTATTTTTTATTTACCCACTCTCCCCAACAGCGCCACCAAAGTTCAACATTCGCCCCAAAAATCAACTCGTCGAAGTCGGTGATGAAGTGCTCTTCGAATGTCAAGCTAACGGCTATCCAAAACCCACCCTCTACTGGTCAGTGGAGGGCAACAGTTCGCTGCTATTGCCCGGCTACAAAGATGGACGCATTGAGGTCACACTAACACCCGAAGGTCGCTCTGTGTTGTCGATATTGCGTTTCGCACGCAAAGATTCAGGCAAAGTGGTCGTTTGCAATGCGCTAAATGCGGTTGGCAGCGTCAGCAGTCGTACCGTTGTTACTGTGGACACACAATTTGAGCTGCCACCACCGATAATTGAGTTGGGTCCCGTCAATCAAACACTGCCGGTGAAATCGATTGTAACGCTGCCGTGTCGCACCAGCGGTACGCCAACACCGCAAGTCTCGTGGTACCTGGATGGCATACCTATCGATGTGAATGAGCATGAGCGGCGTAATCTCTCCGAAACAGGCACACTTACAATAGCCGATCTCCAGCGAAATGAGGATGAGGGCATATACACTTGTGTGGCTAGCAATCGAAATGGGAAATCATCGTTGAGCGGTTATCTACGCTTGGATACGCCCACTAATCCGAATATTAAATTCTATCGCGCGCCGGAACTTTCTACGCACCCAGGTCCGCCGGGTAAGCCGCAGGTGGTGGAGAAGACCGAAGACACAGTCACATTGTCGTGGACGCGCAGCAATAAGGTTGGCGCATCGAGCTTGGTTGGCTATGTCGTCGAGATGTTTGGCAAGAATGAGACAGACGGCTGGGTGGCGGTGGGTGCGCGCATACAGAATACAACTTTCATACAGGTGGGGCTCGTGACGGGCGTGAACTACTTTTTTGTGATACGCGCTGAGAACTCGCACGGTTTGTCGCTACCCAGTCCGATGTCGGAGCCGATCAATGTGGGCATGGTAAAAGCCGGAATAGTGAGTGCAATATGCGAAGCTAATAGTTTTGGTATTTTCTTTTTTTCGCAGCGTTTCTTCAATAGCGGCTTGGATTTGAGTGAGTCGCGTGCCAGCCTGCTATCCGGCGATGTGGTGGAACTAATTAACGCGAGCATTGTGGATTCGACAAGCATGAAATTGACGTGGCAGGTTAGTGCTAAGGATCCTTGCATTTGCTGGTATCGCTTTTTTTTCCGTCGCCTTAATGCAAGGATGTCAATGTCAATGTAGCTGCGAAGCATGACAAGGCAATCAAGCGGCGCACAATGTCTTCAATTGTCCTGTGAAAGGCGAACCAATTTGCACGGCAACTGCCTGTAGGTGGTCGAAAGCGAAATAGAGTGCCGACCGATTTAAATTACAAATTTTTCTTTTGCTTCTTTGGCTCTTTACTTTCTTTCTTTCGAGCGCTTGTTCCCTAATTTTTTTTTTGTTTGTCGCTTTATATCCCTATTTCTTTCTTTTATCTTCACAGATAATCAACGGCAAATACGTGGAAGGCTTTTATATCTACGCGCGTCAATTGCCAAATCCACCAACTACCACCACGTCAGCGGCGAGTAGCAGCTCAAATGCCAATCCATTGCTAGGCCCACGTAGCGGCAGCTCATCGTCGTCGTCGTCGTCGCTGTCATCGTCAGCTGACGCTGCGACGGCCTTATTGATTTCGGCGAAGCCAAATATTGCCGCTGCCAGACGTGATGCGGCCGCCAATAATGCTGGCTCATCCACCGCTACCGCTGCCACCACATATCGCATGCTAACGATCCTGAACGGCGGCGGCGCCTCATCTTGCACGCTAAGTGGCCTGGCGCAATATACGCTGTATGAATTTTTCATTGTACCCTTTTACAAGTCTGTCGAGGGAAAGCCATCGAATTCGCGTATTGCGCGCACACTGGAGGATGGTGAGTACTCAAACGAAATTTAAATATTTTCATATGTGTATGTATACTTGTATGTAAATAGTTATAAACAAGGATGCAAGGCATTTTGAAGTTTAAATCATGTGAGTGATTCAATAGGCGTATTGTTGACTTTTCATTATTAATTCAAAAAAATTCAAGTATGTTTTAAAATACTATAAGGAGAAGTGGGTACGCCGAAAATAAATTGTTTGCAGTGATCTATAACTTAGTCAAAGCTGGTAAGAACTGCTATGTACCTGAATTTAGGTCATTTCCTATTAAGTCGAAATTTTCCTTTAAAACATTTGACGATATAGATGACATGATTCTTTGAAAGTTAAAAAATTGTCAAGGTTGCCATTCTTTAGATTAATTTTCATCATTTCGCTTGAGTACTATGAAGTATGCAATCAGCCCCAAATTTATGACCCTACTACAGCAAGCACATCATACATACTTAAGCTACAATAGCCCTAGTTTCGAGCGGAACATCAATTTACTTGATAAAATTAAGCGGAAGACAATTTCCTACCACGATGTTTTCGGGACGGATGATTTGCAAAGATTAACGGGCTTCACGATGCAGGAAGACTGTGTGACAAAGTATTCTTTCTTTTGGCTTAAAGCATCCCAAGATATCGATATGTACATCGCGAGTCTGGAAACTTATCTACCGGTGCACAGTGGTTCAAAATTGGCACTTTGTGTTCACAGTTCACTGGAGCCTTCACTTTTCACCAGACTTGATTAATTATTTCTTTAATGAAAGCTAATAAAATTTGCAATTTTGAAAAAAAATCGATTCTCCTATTGCAGTTATAAAAATGTTACATAATAAAAACCCGTCTAAAACAATTGTAAGGTTCTCCAAAAATTAAGAAAAAATTTGAAATTTTATACAAAAAATTGTCTCAAAAATTAATTTTTTTTAATGGCTTTTATAAAAAAAAAAATGGGTATGCAGTTTTATAGATCATTAAATTTTAGCGCAATGAAGTTCAAGTTGCAAGTGGCTAAGAGTTCGGGTTGATTTTTTATTAATATTTATAGCAAACGCTTTTGTTTCGCATCACCATGCGCATGTGCTGGAAATGCCAGCGAAAAAAGTAAATGATATTAAAAATTAAAGCGACCTCATAGCCACTTGCAACTTGAACTTCATTATACTAAAATTTAATGATCTATAAAACTGCCTACTCAAAATTTTTCTAGTAACTCCATTTTTTTTTTAATTTTAGTGAAAATTTTTTTTTTAACTTTAAAATTTTTCATGTGAAATTCCTTCTTCATTTTGGGGTAGCCCTGCAATTGATTTCTACTAGTTTTTATTATGTAACATTTATTGACTGGAACAGGAGAGCCGATTTTCTTCAAAATTGCTACTTCTGCAATTAGTACTAAAAAATTTAATACGAATAAAAAAAAATACAAAAATTGGTCTCGTATTTCTTATTAGCTTCCTTAAAAAAAATTATCAAATTTAGTGAAAAATGAAGGCTCCAGTGAATTGTGAACAAAAAATGCAAATTTTGAACCACTGTGCGGCGATCGCTAGTATACACGGCTTACAATTGGACGCCAAGATTAGGTTAGGTTAGAAAGGCGTATATGAAGTGAGCATACTTCCCATTATGAAGCAAGTCTTCCCATTATGAATGCGCTCTCTTAGTACCACGAGAAGGCGCCTCCCTCTAACTGGGATTATTATATTGCCTGCATTGCTGATCCTTGTCTAGCCAACTCTACGGTTATTTCATTTCCTTCAGTATGGCTATGTCTTATGGCAATTTATTGTTCCACCTTTAAGCCATCATTTTAGAAGGTAACACCGTATGCCTCCGTCCCATTCTTCTCTAATTCAAAATCATATACGAATCTTAATCAGCCCTGATCCTATCTCATAGCCCTGTTTTCAGTTCGCTAAACTGAAGAACTAAATGTCAGTTTGTGGATAGATGTTCACCGGCGTATAACTTTGCATGCAGCTTTAAGGTCTTCTTTTCTATCAGATGTAGTTAGGATGAGAAACGACCTCAACCGTGGTGAAATTGTCACATCCAGTACACCGATGGCTTCAAGATCCAATAGCAGACTAAAAGAAGCGGGCCTATGGAAATGCAACTCTGTCTTTCAAGCAGAGGCTTACGTTATAGAAATGCGTAAAACAGTATTTATTTATGAAAAACAAATGCATCTATGTTCATACAGCGGGGTAGCACTTTTCTCGTTGCCTTTAATCTAGCAGAAAATTTGTTACTGCTGCTTGTGTAACCCAGGGAAAAAGCTATAAGTGCTTCTTGGGTGTTTACAGAACGATATTTCTGAAATAGTGCAGGGCTCTTTTAGATCCATTTCGGGGCCAGTTCAGCATTGGTTTAAGATCATTTCGGGACCTGTTGTGGACAATTTCGGGATAATTACGGGCTTGTTTCGGGTTCGTTTGGAACTTACTTGTTCAGGAATATTTTAGAACCATTTTGAGACTAACAAGAGACCATTTTGGACTTTTTCGACTATTTCTGGTCCAGTTCAGTACTATTTCGTGCTCATTTCGGGCCTAGTTCGGAATTATTTCAGGACCATTTTGCGACCTGTTAGGGACGATTTCGGAACCATTTCGGATCTATTTTAGGATCGTTTCGGGACTAGACCTGGGCCATTTAGGCTATTTAGGGCCTAGTTCGGGTTCATTTCTGGAATAATTGAAGACCACCTCTGGATTAGTTGAGAACTATTTCACGACCATTAGGTACCTGGTTCATGACTATGCGAACAACATTTCGGAACTATTTTGTTCGGGATCATTTTTGGAACTAATTCAGATATATTACAGGACTATTTCGTGATCCTTTTGGGATAATTAAGGGACTATTTAAGAATCACCATGGGGTAGTTCGAAACTTTCGTGACAAGTTATACTGATGAAGCCTTGAAATATTCCTGAAGTGGTTATGAAAAATTCGTTTAATGGAGCCGACAAAATGAATACAATGAATCTAAATTAATTTCCAGCCCAACCTATTAACATACATATGTATCTATGCTAAACTGAAACAAGAAAGTTCGCCAAAGCAATTTGAAATGTCTCAAAGAAGCACTTATTATAATCACAGCAGCATTTTCATTTCTATCTGTAGAAGCCATACATTCCGCTATAGTCCAGTGACTGGGTCATTTAAAGCAAAAAGCGATCACCGGCGCTCGACAAACCGTTGGCTTTCTATTAGCCCTTTCGATTAGTATACATATAGCTGGTTTTGTAGCCTTCATAAATTAATGAAGTGCATTACCCTTTTCAATTATACTATAAAACAAGTAAGAAAGTCTAAGTTCGGGCGGAGCCGAACATTAAATACCCGGCGCAAGTATTAAATATATGTTTTCCACCCTTCCGAAAGCTACCGCTACATGATAAGCCGGGGTGTATACATTTTAAGTAAATTAGCGTCCTTAAATTTCGAAATATTGAAATTTCAAGCATATCTGAAATTTACCGTTATATGAAAAGCGGCCTCAATTTTAGTCCGATTTCAACAATTTTCAACGGTTTGCTTTTATGTGGCAAGCACAATAACCATACCGAGCTTGGTACAAATTGCTAGAACGGTTAGCGAGATACATATATGTGATCACAAGTGGGCGGTGCTGTGCCCATTTTCCAAAATTTTGTCATAAACGTATTTCTTGGTAAAGAATTGTTGCAACCATCAATTTTGAATAAATTAGCTTCAATATTTACTGATTTGTCGGAGATTTTGTATTTCTCGAAATTACCGTTATATGGGCTGTGGGCGTGGTTATTGTCCGATTTTAGAAATTTTCGGCCATTTGGTATGTTGTACCAGGACCAACAACTGTGCCAAGTTTGGAAGAAATTGGTGTAGCGGTTACCAAGATATACACCAGTAACCATAAGTGGGCGTGGCTACGCCCATTTGCCAACATTTTGTAATATTCTTATTTTTCGTCTAAAACTCATTTCAAATACCAATTTTGAGTGAATTATCTTCAGTAGTTACTAAAATATGCAAGTTTTCGTTTTTCTGAAAATTACCGTTATATGGGAGGTAGGCGTGGTTATTGTCCGATTTTTAGAATTTTCAGCCATTTAGTATGCTGTACTAAGGCCAACAACTGTGCCGAGTTTGGAAGAAATTGGTGTAGCGGTTACCAAGATATACACATGTAACCATAAGTGGGCGTGGCTACGCCCATTTTCCAAAAATTTATAAAATTCATGTTTTCCGTCTGAAACTCATTGTAGGTATCAATTTTGAGTGAATTATCTTCAGTAGTTACTAAAATATCGCAGTTTTCGTATTTCTTAAAATTACCGTTATATGG